AAGTCAGGCCCCCTCTTCCAGTTTTGGCAAGGTCATTCCTAGACTGATTTTTTGTTGTTTTTTTATGTTTTTTATTTTAATTTTTTTACTTCCTTCACTTCTAGTTCTTTTTCATTTTGCGAACATCTTTCAAATTCATGAATCTATTTTTTTTCACATCATGAATATATTTAAAATTCACAAATATATTTTGAACATTTCTACAATCAAGATTTTCTTTTACAAATTTGTGAACTTTTTAAAATTGTGAACATTTATGAAATCCTGAACATTTTTCCGAATTCATGAAGAGTGTCTTAGATAATTGTGAACGTTTTATGAAATCATGAACATTTTTTAAATTTAAGAACATTTTATAAATTCAAAACATATTTTAGAATAGTAAACATTTTCAAAATCTTGAACATTTTCTAAATATGCGAATATTTTTCGAATTAGTGAACTTTTCTTGAAATTCATGAATAAATATTTTTTGACCCATGATTTTTTCTTGAATTTGTAAACATTTCTTTCAAATTTGGATCATTGTTGAAATTATCAACACTGTTTGTATTGTTGAACATTTCTGAAATTCGTAAACGTTTTTTTGAGTTCATGTACATTTGTCATTGGTGAGGAAAATTTTAAATCCAGGAATCAGTGTCAAATTCGTGACTTTTTCTTGAAATTAGGAACTTTTTTGAAGCTGCATTTTTTTAAAGAATCAGAAAACAAAAACAAAATGATAAACAAATAGGGAAATAACGGAAAAGAATAGGAGCGTCCAGCCAAAGCACACGCGTGGGAGGCAAGGGTACGCGATTGCTCACTATCCGACAATCCATGCGTGGAAAAGGAGCTCCCCTTCCTTCTGAGGCATCCTATTTGCTGCCTGTGTGCGTCAGATTTTTTTTTGAGGGGTAAAACCAAAACCAAGCTTTTTCATCAAAAACAACATGTTGTGGGATACAATTCAGGTCATGGGTTGTCGCAGTGCTGCTGAAGCGAAGCGAGTGAGCACCACAAAATGGGAAGGCCCTGCTGGAGGAGACCAACCACTAAAATAACTGACGTGGCAACGTGACGTCTGGTCCCAACTGGAACACTGCATCCAGTCTGCTGACCTGCTCTATCCAAAGAGCTACTACTAGCTCAAGTGGTACTAGTTGAACTCGTATTCATCATAATTATCTAAATCAAATCAATGCTCAAATCAATACATAAAGAAGATAACTTGACTAACATGTCCATTTTCCATCATAATCAACATGTCCATCATAATCGTCGATGGTCAAAGCACTGCCAGTTCCATTCTCCAACCAGATAGTACATGGTCAAAGCACTGCCAATTCGACCTCTAATACCTGCTCTAAGCTAGTTATACAAACTGTCACGTGTCCGTTTTTATTTTCCCGATTCTAATACAGACTATACATACCATTCTCGCTACCTCTATTTTTAGGGTCTCACCGATCTATTCATCTTCGAATCATGGTAGTACAACGAATATCAAAAATAATAAAAATTATATCCAGATCTGTAGACCACCTAGCGACGACTACAAGCACTGAAGCGAGCCGAAGGCACGCCGCCGTCATTGCCCCTCCATCGTCAAAGTCGGGCATAACTTGTTGTAGTAGACAGTCGGGAAGTCGTCGTGCTAAGGCCCCATAGGACCAGCGCACCAGAACAGCAATCGCCGCAGATGAAGAATAACATAAATCGGAAGGATCCAATCCAAAGACATACGAACGTAGACGAACACCAACGAGATCCGAGCAAATCCATCAAAGATAGATCCGCCGGAGACACACCTTCACACGTCCACCAACGATGCTAGACGCACCACTGGAACGGGGGCTAGGCGAGGAGACCTTTATTCTATCTTCAGAAAGCCGTCGTTGTTTCGTCTTCCTGAGCAGAACACAAACCCTAACAAAATTGAAAGAAACGACTAAAAACGAAGCCCTCCCGCCGGCCTTTGGCAGGATCCACCACGCCTCCATGGCCCTAGGGCCACCGGAGACGAGGCGGACCTGCGTCGGAGCCGGTGAGAGGTAGAAACCCTAGCTGCTTTTTTTAGGAGGAGGAAGAGGCGGCGGCTTATGTTTACAGATACTATACGAGTACACATTGGACGCGGTCTAGTAGATTCAGAATTCGTGGTTTTAGTCGGATGTATATGTACCTGATATGACAAAATAATTTAGTAACTAAAAAAAGCAAAAACAAAATATGAAATATTTTTGAAAACAAACTTGACCTTTTGTTGCACTCGTATAAAAATAAACGGAATGACTTTCATGGTATTCTAAATGGAAACAAAAAATCAACACTATACAAGTTACTATTCACATTTTTTATCATTGCCCGAAAGTCGATTGGAGTTTTTTCTACATGAAACTTTTTATACAAGTACAACATAAGGTCATTTTTTTCCGAAAGAAATACGATTTTTTTTGTTTTACTTTTTTCGTAGTTACTATCTTTTTTCTCATATGAGGTGCGCACACACCCGTGAGCCAACGGATATTTCCCGCCAAAAGCTATATTCTAGCTTGACCTACTTTGCATAGGGTGTGCACGGTGCACCTATCCTAGAAATACCCATGGTGGGCTGCAATCTCAGTAGCCTATACGCATCTTCCCGTATGCCGCCATTTGTCTACCTCTACGCGTTTCTTGCCATCGACTCTTGAGCCGCCCCCCACCGTGTCGGTGTTGAGCAGGAGATCACAAAAAAATGAGACCAACCCAAGGTCTAACCCTCGTTGGCTTTTTTTTATAAGAGAAACTCCGCGATCACCGCGTCTCAAAGCCAAGGCTTGAACTCGGGTGGGCTGGCAGCTAACCTCAACTGCCCAGCCAACAGGTCGACGCCCCATCCTCTTGAGCAAGAGATCAAAATTGTCGCCTTTTGCATCCACATGTTGCAGTTGGTGTCGTCCTCTGCCCATCATCATTGTTGTTCTCCAACAGTCGTGAGTACAAGTTCGACCGTCATGAGCTCCCTTATGACCATCATGGAGTAAAAACAAAAGAAAAAACTATGACCCACTGACGAGGCGGGCTCCACTTGTTATTGCCTGTCTATATCGAATAGAAAGGGGTGGAGAGACTGGTGGTCAGCCGGAGGAGGAGCACGGTGGAAGCACATTTGTTATTTTTTTCAACCGCCTAAATAATTACCTCCTCCGTTCCGTAATATAAACGTTTTTGCAAGCTATGTTAGCTTGCAAAAACATCTTTATTATGGGATGGATGAAGTAAATATTTTGGTGGTCTCTTAGAGATGCTATCATCCTCAAACTAACTACTCCTTGTAGTATCAAAAAACATCTTATATTATGGGACGTAGGGAGTACCAATTAACAGAGAGGTAATCTGGAAAAACTTGCCTATATATGTGCGTCGTGTTTGCCGGCCGGGCATCTGAATTAGAGTACTAGTGGACGTTTTGAACGATCTACCAGCATATATATGTTACTGTATTGAATGGTGGTCTACCAGCATTGTTAATTTAACTAGTATAGTAATTAAATGGTGGCTCCTTGTAGTTGGAGCGTGTTAAATACTGGTAATTTAGTGATGGAATGGAAGGAAAGAATCCAAGGGAGAGCGACACATTCATGCATTCATTCAAAGTTCCAAGGAGAGTGTCACGTCGTCACTTACGTAAAGCAAATTATATTAGCACAAAGGTCCGGTCGAGCAAGCAGCAGATGCATGAACGTGTCATTGTCTACTTTCTAGCTATCCTCCTGACCTAAGCTGATTACTTAGTTGGTGTCTATAAACTACTACTAGTAGTAGTAGTAGTAGTATATGTGACATGCGCGATGAGACCAAGACAATTGTCGCCACCGCATAAGACCACGCACGCTACGCTTATAAATTAACAAGTTTGATCCTGCCATGTTTTATAACTAAGGTTCAACTCGATCGATGCGCACAATGTTTCATTTCATATGTTGATAGATCATACTAGTACCGCCCATAGATCCGGCCGTGTTTTACT